TGCGACGTTTATCCAAATATTGCAGCAATCATATGCATTTGATTCAAACATTTCGTTGCGGGACCAAGAAGAACTGTTCTTTCAAATCGATCAATGCTATCTTTCCCGGTGCTATTAATTTCCACTCACGGTGGCAGTCTGCCTTTGCGCATAAATAGCAACTGCCGTATTCTCATCTCAACATTTATTAGATTTCGATGCGTCGTAGTGTCGTCCAAACCTAGCCCCGCAAAATGGCGGCCGAGTTACCTGCGACGTTTATCCAAATATTGCAGCAATCATATGCATTTGATTCAAACATTTCGTTGCGGGACCAAGAAGAACTGTTCTTTCAAATCGATCAATGCTATCTTTCCCGGTGCTATTAATTTCCACTCACGGTGGCAGAAATCTCTTCACTACAGCAATAATCCCCCTTCCAGATAAAGAATTCACTTCATACGTCAACAATTTACTTGTCAAACGTTCAACAAGAATAACTTAAAATTTTTTGTTCCTAGATAACGCAATTCTTCTGTAAACGTGCATTGTTTGTCATTTTTTTTTACTTATTCCACTTATAGGTTCTTATTTCTTCCATCATGATGGTAGGCATGATGTTTTGACGCGTTTTGTCCGAAGACCTCACTATATTGACGCGTGAATCGCACCACACCGGCAGGCTTGGACTCCGTTCACGGGGGCGGAGCGTGCGCGATAGAAATTTTGGACCGCAAGCTCATAACTCCTGTTTACGTGGACCTAACAGGTTGGAATTCGGAAGAAGTACAGGAGGCAGGATGTAAACACCTATGGTGGGTGACAGGACCGGACCCCGCCCATAGGAGGCGGGGTTTGCGCGAAAAGTTTCAATTTGGCTACAGGGCGTAATTTAGGTAGGAGGACAGGCGGCTTTGGGATCACTTATGGTAGGTACAGGGCCAGGCTGCCCACGGGGGCGAGGTTTCCTCGAGATCAATGTCAGAGCGAAAATCCATAATTTCTGAACCCGTGGACTTGGAGAGCAAAAACAGTAGGAGTAGAGGAGGCAAGATTGGAACATTGACGATAGAAGAAGCCTTAGTGAACAGGATCCACTCACCAATTAAATCCTAGCGCCGTCTTATTTACGACATAGCTTTGACTCTTTAATATCTCTCATCGACAATAAGGGAAAGTGCAGTGATAGGGACCGATTATAAGGAGATGAAATTTGGTTCAATTCTTGCTATTGGATTGCGACCGCTACCCAGAAAGTTGCGATTCGATGAAGGATCACGGTTTCTATCTGCTTTGACATCATTTTTGGCAAAACTTATCCAACCGCTAATAATATTGCATTTTCATTTTATGATGTATCCGTAGAGAAGAGGAGCTATTTTCATAGAGACATTTGATAATGGTATATTATGACCCGACAACATTTGTGAATACCACTCAAGGCTTTAAAGGCACAGTCCACGGTTATTTCGAGGTACCCGTTTTTATTCGAAAAGCGGAAGTATAGATTGGGAATAGTTCATCGGTAGTAAAGAAAGCGAGAGAATTCGCCGATTTCGAGGGGAAAATAGAGGTTGGACGAGATTGCCATGACGGAAATAACATGGTAGGGGTATTCGGACGAGATTTCAGTCACATCTATTGCGCAAAGAGCTGACTATTTACATCAAGCCAGAACGAACAGACTGTCTTTAACTGTCGCTATGGGTCATGACAAGTTGTTTGAACTTGTTACATGGGTTCCCTTGTGATCGGTGCAGCCTCTACGATGCCGGTGAAACTCGTCCGAGGATGTAAGACCTCGATCGGTCCCTCACGTCGACTGCGACGCCGCTCCTAAACGCGGCGAACCCCGTTGCCCATCTGAAGCGAATAGCACGGCGTCACCGCCGGCGCGACGTGTGCATCGGAGAGGGGTTCAACGTATGGGAGACCCCGTGTTGGGCCTTAGTGATCGAGCCTCACTCGCGCTCGCCGCCGCTTCCCACTTGGTCCTATAGTTGCCGTAATGCACTTACAAGCACAAACGCGTATATCAATCCAAAGCATTAGCTTTGAGCTACCGTGCTCTTCCTCATGGGGTACCTGGCTCTTACCTACGTTGCCTTGAGTGGCACAAGCCGGTATAGGGACAGCCGTTGTACAACGAGTCCGTGTTAGATCCGCGGACGGGGATTAGTTGCGTCAGTGCGTTTGTCAACGTACCATGAGCCGCCCTCGACATGTTGTTTATCCCGTTGTTTCTCGCGGGCATGATATATGGTATGCTGTTATAAGTAGGTGTATATTGGTACGTGCCGCTTGTAAGTCGTAAAACACCATCTTCGCACTATATCATATCTTATGCTGTTCCTACACATCTTGACGATCGTTGTTGTGTGCTTCAATATCCGTTCAGTATGCCGTTTTCCGCAAGGTTTACCGACTAGCCAGCTTCGCGTAGTGTGTTACTCGTCATTCGCCGTAGGTAGCTGCAGGTCACAGCTACCTTACGGACCAACACATATTCCAACAACCAACACACCTTATCAGTTTTAGATTGGGTGCGGCAGTTATTACCTCCTGCATATTGTCAAAATGTCTAGT